TGTATATAATATTCCTCCTTCAGGTTCCTTACATCTTTACTGCATATGACACAGTTAACTATTATGGGTTTACTGCCTACTTCCCACTGCCCACTGCTCCCCATGCCTGTGCCTGAGAGCATGTGCGCTCTGTGTGTGTCTGTGTGTGTGTGAGAGAGACACTAGCATTATTAGAGGCTGTCAATAAGCCTCTCAGTAGGAAGAAAACATGAGTGGGTTTTGTTTGGTTTTGTTTTTTTGTTTGGTTTTGGTTTTTCGAGACAGGGTTTCTCTGTGTAGCCTTGGATGTCCTGGATCTTGCTCTGTAGACCGACCAGGCTGGCCTTGGACTCACAGAGATCTGACTGGCTCTGCCTCCCGAGTGCTGAAATTAAAGGTGTGCACCGCCACCACTGCCCGGCCCGAGTGTTTTTCTTTTTTTTTAAAGTTCCGATTTACAATTAAAGAGGATGTGAATGAATGACGTAAGCTCATGGCTGAAAAATCAAAGGTTTAAGCAGTGGGTTCATCTTTGCTAACTACTTGCTGGTGAAGTCTGAGGCTGTTCTGTAGCTACTTTAGAACAAGGTAACATTAACTCTAAACCAGAATGAGGCAAGAAATGTTAATAAATTACAGAAATAAGAACAAGACAACACTGATAAATTATGTCAGAAACAAGACTTAAGCTCCAGGTGTTTACTGTGCTGATAGTTTTAATCATCAAATTGCTACAACCTAGAGTCACTGAGGAGGAAAACCCACTTGAGAAGTTCTCCTGATCAGACTGGACCGTGTCTGTTGGGGACTGGGTGGTCATATTGTTAGCTGGTGTAGGAAGCCTCAGCCTGCGGGGGATGGCACCATTTATGATCTGGGCCCTGAACTCTGAAGAGTGAAAGGCTAGCTGAGTACAGGCAGGCGGCAGGCAGCGGGGTGCTTCCATGTCTCTCAGCTCTCGGCTGTGGACATGTGTGACTAGCTACTGGGTTCCTGAGTTGACTTCCCCTCAATAATAGACTGCAACCTGGAATTATACACAGGGTAAACCCTGTTCTCCCCTAAACTGCTTTCTGCCAGGATGTTTTATCACAGCAACAGAAATTAAACTAGAACAGTGGCGAATGCAATCTATGTCTCAAGAACAGAACAAACTAGGTCACATTTCTTTCCCAAGGGCAGCTTTCAGGGTTAGCATCAGAGAGTGAGGTCAAAGCTTTAGGTCTGGCCATTTCAGGTTTCTCTTCTCATACACAACAGCTACCAAGCAGCAGCAAAAAAACAGAGACTTAGCTTACACACCACTGACGCCATTACAAACACAGAGTCAGGTCAGACGGGAGGAGGGCCAGCGTCCCCACAGGCCTAGAGCCTTGGCATGAGGAAGCGAACACAGGATCGTGAGTTTGCTTAGGTTACACAGGATTGTGAGTTTGATTGTAAGGTCAGCCTGGGTTACACAGCAGTTCTAGGCAGCCTAGGTTATACAGCAAGACTGTCTATATATATATATATATATATATATATATATATATATATATATATATATATGAACTGTTTCAGTTAACTGAGAACTACTCGGAATCGGAATCAACTTTAGGAGAATCGGCTCATAGGAGGCCAATGCCTGCTTTTGTGCCAATGCTCATCACAAACTAGGCATTCCACCAATGCCAACCGTTACTTCTTACATGACACTATGAAGCACAGCATTCAAAAGTTAGAAAATGAATGGGAGGAGAGGTGCATTATCCTTGATAGGTTATATTTTACACTAATCTTCCAAAACTTTTATATGCACACTCTAGGGTTATCTAACACCTGATACTGGACATAGTCTTCAAATCAAATACTGCCACATGATTCTATGTTTATGATGAAATAAACCTGAAGTAAGTATCATATAGCATTAAAGCATACTATAAAACTGAAAGTCTCAGGGCAATTGTGTCACTCAGTGGCACACCAAATCAAGTATTAGTCAGAAACAGTCAGTGGCACATTCTTGATGATGGCAAGATGGCACTGTGTGGGCTCCATCACCAAATATTTTAATTTGCAATCGTTAATTGACAAAAAGTGCAACAATTAAAAATAAATATTTCAAAGCCTGTAATAATTGTATCAACCACTCATTTTAGGAATTATTCCAAATGAGATTTTAGGAATTCACAAGCTGGGCATGATAGCACCTGTCTTTAATTCTAACACTTGGGAGTCAGAGACAGGAAGATCTCTGCAAGTTTGAGGCCAGCTTGGTCTACAATAGTGAGTTCCCGGAGAGCCAGGGCTTTCCTGCTTGGAGGGAAAACAAATCAAAAACAGCTATTTGTTCTAGCTTGCTTTTCTGTTACTGTGATCCAACACTGGCCAAGAGTAGTATGGGGAGAAAAGGGTTATTTCATCTTACAGACTAGAGTCCATCATGGAGAGAAGGAACTGAAGGGACTCACAGTAGTCTCTGGACGCAGGAGCTCAAGTAAAGACAGTAGAGAACGATGCTTATGGGATCACTCTCTCTGACTTGTTCAGCTTGCTTTTCCATACAACCCAGGACTGTCTTCCCAGGGTTGGCACTGCCCACAGTGGGCTAGACCCTTGAATACCAGTCATTAATCAAGAAAATGCCCCACAGACATACTATAGGCCACACTGACAAGGGCATTCCTTAATTGAGGCTCCTTCTTCCCAGGTAACTCTAGCTTGTGTCCAGTTGACAAAAACTAAGTAGCATTGGTCTCCATTGCCTCCATCCTTACGAGGCTGAAAACAACGCACATACACCAGCTTACAGTTCTATGGACTGGAAGCTTGACAAGAATTAAGATGTCTTATGGAGACTCGAGGAGCAAAGTCCACTTCTTTGAATTTTTGGCTTTTAGAGGCTGTCCTGTGTTGTCTAACAGCCCCTTCCTCCATATTTTGTTTTTCTTTTGGTTTTTTGAGACAGGGTTTCTCTGTGTAGCTTTGGTGCCTGTCCTGGAACTCGCTCTGTAGACCAAGCTGGCCTCGAACTCATAGAGGTCCACCTGGCTCTGCCTCCCGAGTGCTGGAATTAAAGGCGTGCGCCACCACTGGCCGGCTTCCTTCCTCCATCTTTTAAGCCTCCAGCAGCGAGTAGAGTTCTGCTCACATCTGCCCATGATAACTTTGCTCAGAACTCTTCTTGACTCATCCTTCTATCCTTGTCTGCTACTTCAGAGGACCACTGTGTTCACATGGACTCTCAAGCTGTCCAGAACTACCTCTCTCCCTCTGTTAGTATAAGATGGACCTGTAACCTTACTTTGTTTTTGCAATATAACTGACACCATTCACAGGTTCTCGAGGTGATGACACACATTTGGAGGACCATTATCCTCCAATCAAATAAACAATAGAACTCCAAAGGATTAGCAAGTTGCTCCTGTTAAAACTGACATTCAAAGATTGCGAACTGAGGGTTTAAAAAAGAGCTTTGAAGTTGTAAGTGGAAAGTGGGAAAGGGGGACTGTAGGGGAAAGAATAAGGTAGATTTGATCAAAACACATATGCATGTGTAAAATTCTTAAACAGTATAATAACTTTTAAAAAGATTGCTTATGCCAGGCGGTGGTGGCGCACGCCTTTAATCCCAGCACTCGGGAGGCAGAGCCAGGCGGATCTCTGTGAGTTCGAGGCCAGCCTGGGCTACCAAGTGAGTCCCAGGAAAGGCACAAAGCTACACAGAGAAACCCTGTCTCGAAAAACCGAAAAAAAAAAAAAAAAAAGATTGCTTACTAGCTGGGCAGTGGTGGATCACACCTTTAATCTCTGCACTTGGGAGGCAGAGGCAAGTGGATGTCTGAGTTTGGAGCCAGCCTGGTCTACAGAGAGTGTTCCAGGACATCTCTGGTTACACAGAGAAACCCTGTTTCAAAAAACAAAAAAACAAACAACAAAAAGATTGCTAACTAATTTTAGGTTAAATATAAATTTATTCTGCTCTCAAAACATTAGCAAACAAAATCTAAAAGATACTAATATCTTTACACTATTCTTAAATAGACTTTCTTATGCAGCAATCTTATTTGAATTAAGATATAGACTGACGCTCTATTTCTACTACTAAATTCACTAAATAATTTGGCTTTACAAAGTACCATATTGGGTTTATATCTAGTTATTGTTTTACATACCTGAGTAACAATATATAAATTTAACTGGGTAAAACCGTGGATCCACAAATTTACTTTTCTAGCTGTTTATCCCTGTTAGTAATGCTGTCTTCTTATCTATAAAGTAAGCCTACCTTATAGACTTGCCATAACAATAATATGGAATTATAAATGTAGAATGTTCAGCACAGTTCCTGCCTACTATCAAGTACTCCTTGAGTAAAATTAACATTTATTTCATAAAAACTGTAATCAAGCTTTAAAGTAAAGATAATTTTCTGTTTCTAGAATGCTACATTATTTGCTACAAAACTAGAACTTTAAACAACATAACAGAATATTACTGCATACTTAATGTCTAGATTTTCTACATATCTAATTAAATTAAAGTATCTTTCAATTTTACAAACATATCTATTTATTTATTTATTTATTTATTTATTTATTTATTTATTTATTTATTTATTTATTGGCCAATTTTACTATACAGCCCAGGCTGACCTCAAACTCATGCCCCTCCAAGTGAGATCATAGTAATGTGCTACCACACCTGGTCTGACATTACTTTTTTAAATTAAAAACAGAAGAAACAAAGCAAAACAAAAGAACCAACCTCAGAACAGCAAATGCCCAAGTGATTTTCTGAGGAGTACTAATGGCCCAACTCCCAAGGCTCTGCGCACCACTGAACCCTACCCATTCTGAAGGACTGACTTTAACTCTAAACCGAGTGTGTGCACTGAGGAACTGACAGGGGGAAAATGAATTAACACTGAGTGTGAGCATGAAAACTGGCGTTTCTAAAGTTAACCAAGATATTTATAACATTTTGTTGTAACTATTTTAGGACATTTCTTTTATATTTTCAAACACAAAAATACTTACAGTTTGATAATATGAGGATGACGAAAGAGTTTAAGATTTTGAATCTCTCGTTTTATTTTTCCAACAACATCTAAACTGCGAATCTTCTGTCTATTTAAGATCTTAACTGCCACTTTATGGCCTGTCAACTGGTGTTCTCCAACTAAAGAAAAGAGAAAGAGAAATGCGGCTGTCGTAAGAACAGAATTATCGTGCATTTTCCGAATGTGCCCGAAGTTTGTTTACTCATGGACCTATTTCAGCATCACAGGATACACGGGCCTCAAGTGCTCTTCTTTTGCCTCTGTCTCCCCCTTAAAAAAGAATGCCTTCAACACAGAAGCCATGCTTTAGTCATCTCAGCATCTTCAGTAAAGCAAAGAAATGTTACTTCAATCTTACTAGAAAGCATTGCTAAATTCTGTAATCCTTCATAAAAATATTATAGAACATCTTTAGACAGAATAGATTTCAGTATATTTTTCCTTATTTCTCATCTTTTATTTAACATCATCGTATTTATTACAGAAGAATAAATAGTTTCTGTAATAAATGTAAAGCAATTTAATTACTGTTCAAAATTCAAGCTATGCCAATCTCTCTACTTCACATACCATCCATTACTCCCTTTGGTTCAGGGCCATGCTAATCTCTTGAGTGGGGCAGTTTTAGTGGTTTGCTAAGGGAGCACACTCATTCCCCATTGGTTAGCACCACTCTCTCTTAGGTGGTCTCTCTTCTGTTCTCTACTGGCCCTTTAAGGATTGATATCTGCAGGTTTCTAACCTACGTCCATGGTAAACGCTTGAGTCATCTCACAGATCTCTCATCCACACTTAATCTATGAAGTATTACTATTCTCCAGGGATAAATACAACCTAATTCACAGAAAAGCTAAATAGTTTGTCTAACTAAAGTTACATGCTAAGTGGAGGCACCACATGTTACCCAGGGGTATCTTACTTCAGAACTAAAATTTTAACCACATAATTCAACAATACTATCTATGTATTTGTGATAAAGTGATGCAAATATAAAATGGATTAATTTATGAACTGCATTTCTTGTTAGGGGACATTATTTTATTTTTATAACTTCATAACCATTTTAAACACTTTTTAAAAAGTTTAAAAATTCCCATATAAAACAAACTAATTAGTAAAAATAATGTTCAAGCAACATCAGTTTACTAGCATTCCACAATGCTTCCAGGACTTAAGGAAAACTTCGATTTTCATGGACTATCCAATGAAATGGCCTGAGTAGTGTATCACATACCCTGGAAATTTGATAACACCCAAACACTCGCCCACATGGCCCAACAAGTATGACTTTGTCTTCAAATCCACTATGGCCTCAAGGAAAGTAAAGACTGCCATCCCTTATCACTACAATGGGACAAGATTCAGTTTCTCTTTCTCCACAGAGTAACTAAATGTACTGTCTAATGAGAAAACAGGTAACTTTCCCAAGTCAAAGAAGGCCATTGACTCTCTGATGGTTAGTCCAACAAGCTGACTGAATAAATATTTGAGAGGTTAGTAAAGTACAGCTCTGGGTATGTCTGTGAAGGCATTCCAAAGATAATTAAAACAGAAGACACTGACCTAATCAATGGATAAATACCTTGATAGATTTATACTACCACAATACAGGTGAAAGATGGGGTAAGAGGTGTGCCTCTCAGAGGAGTGAGTCATGGGGACGGGTCTTTAAGGCTGCAAGTCGCTCTGGTCTCTGTTTTTCCTTTCTGGTTGATAAAATATTAACTACTCTGTTCTAACTTGCCCTTCTAGTCATAGTGGGCTGGCACCTCTGAAACCAGGAGCCAAAATAAATAATTCCTCCCTACATGTTGTTCCCAGATATTTTGGTCACGTGATGCAAAGTATCCAACATGAAGTCTATTGGCCAAGCAGATGGGTCTTTGTTTTACTATCATCACAGGGTTAATCTGCAAACAAAAGCATGAGGGAACTGACTCAGAAGAGAATACGACTGCTTTGCCTCTACCTGAGGAAAAACTGACTCGCTTATCTTTATACATTAAGAAAATTTCCCACATGAAATACTGAAAACGAAATGGCATTTTTCCTAGAAATGGTTATGTAAACAGATAATAAATTAAGTAAAAGTCTGAAGTTAAAGTAATCAAATGCATTGAGAATTCCCCCCTTTTGATGAATTACACTAGCCTTTTCCCTAATAATTCCTTCAGTGACTCGGTGCTTAACTATAATAATTTACATATAAATAATCTGTCATACTTTCCCCTGGAAGCCAAGTGAAAGTGCTAGAAATTTTTTAACAAATACACAAACAAGACCAAAAAAATATCTTTAATGTATGTAGCAGACATAAACTTTCCTTTATGGAAATCAAATGTTTGCATTCATCAAAGTTTTATTTCCAATCATTTAATCAATTTAAAGTTTAATAAATCCAAAACATTTGCTAGGTATCTTTTATGAGCAATGGCTTGTTGATCATACACACATAAAGAGAGATTTGTATTAGGCTTCATAGAATCAACGGGGAACAACTACAGCCATAAAATAGCTGAAATAAATTTTATGTGGTATTTAATATGCCTTGTTTGTAAAGGGTAGTTGAAAACAGGATGGACAAACTTGCCATAGCACCATTTTACAAAAGCAAATATTCAGATCACATCTGCTTTCTGGTACAGTAAGAACACTCACCCACTAACAACTTTGTAACGAGAGCCCACTATGATAAAGCACTGTACTAATCACACTGGTAGTCCACTTGGGATAGAGTGGTTTTATTGCACTGCTAGCTGCCAAGCAATATCTATTGTCCTTTATATCCCAGGCACAAACCCCAAATTACACCCACACGCATGACTAGCAAAAGGAGAGACAGCAAGCTACACCTGTGTCTGGGTGTAGCCATGTCTCAGCAGCTTCTCCATCTCAAAGTCTGGAACTTAAAGCCTCTGGTCTGAGCCCAAGGTCAGTCATGTATCCAGGAGCAACAGGAAGAGAAGGCTAACAGACATGATGACAGTTTGAACCATCTGCCAGAATTTTACAGGAGAGTTACATACTACCATCTTGTTTAAGTCCCTCTTTTTTTTTTTTTTTTTTTTTTTTTGAGACTTTCATACAAGTATACAATGTTGATGTTCGGCAGTTGTGAGCCGCCTGATGTGGTGCTAGGAACGGAACTGAGGTTCTCTACACGAGTGGTCTGCACTGTTAACTACTGATCCACCTCAACAACATATGCAAAGTGTTTTGCGCAAACCCACCCTAACCCACATTTCTCCATCTTTAATTCATATACTGCTTTTGTTTGTTTGTTTAACTCTGTAGTTCCTTTGGTGCTGCCAGTATGTGAGGGTAGAACCATTTCCGTGAAGCAAGGGCCAGCTACCAGGATCTGCATCCCTGAAGAAAACTGACTGACCTTCCCGAGCAGTCAATAGTTCCTCAGCTATGAGTGGCACTTTGTGGACTGCTTCCCCATTCATGCTGAGTTTTTGCTACACTGACTCTGTGTGGATCTTACCCACACAGACACAGCTACTGTGAGTTTTGAAGTTCAGCAGCCCTGTCGTGTCTGGAAAACACTGTTTGGCAGTAGTCCTCCATAACCTCTAGTTTTTACCTTTCTGTGCATGATGTTCTTTGAGTCTTGGGAGGAGGAAGTATGATATGGATGTCCCATTTAGACTTGAAGCACTCCAGTTTCTTATTCTCTGTACTGTGACTGGTTTTGGGTTTTTGTATTAACTGTCATCTACAGCAAAAAGAAGCTTCTTTGATGAGAGCTGAGAGCTACAATAATCTATGGGTATAATGGCAAGTATTTAGAGGGCAGTTTGATATTATGTCAATTTAGCAACATAATAGTATTAGATTCTCCTTTAGAGCCTATGGCCTACCCTGCAATGTGTTTTGGGCCCAGTTAACAATACCAGGTATGAGTTCTATCTTGTGGGTCAGGCCTTAAATTCAACCTGACAGTTGATGGTTACTTTCATAACATGCATGCCACTATACACCGGTGGGCATATCTTGCCAGGATTGTCATTAATGTAGCTCCCAGGGTTCACAGATGGACAAGATATTGATGGCTCTTCTCTCTCAGTAACCTGCATGGCACCTTCTGGCAATACGAAAGCTAGCCAATTCAGATGACGCTTTCAGGTCAGTACCAGCTTGATTTCTCTCTCATGACTCAAGTATGTGGTGACTGACTTCAACACTCAATACTCTTCTAATTCCTGGTGGGCAACCAAGAGCAATCACAATAGCCTGCACTGTTTGGGGGAGTCTATGGGACCCCACTGACCAACAAGTTGAAGAGAGGTAGGACCTTTTATTCAGTTGAAGAGGGTAGACCCTTTTATCAAGTTGAAAAGAATAGGCCCTTTTAACAAGTTGAACAACAGCTGTATTTTTATTTTCTGCAGATTTCTGCCACCACTGAATTTAAATACTATTAATCAGAACACTTTAAAATTCCTTTCAGGGGCTCTTCTGACCTCCACATGCATGCTATGGCATGAACACACATCTTATATGCACACATTCATATACACGCAAAAATTAACTTCAAATATTCAGTTTTGCTGGAATATCCATTAATAGTCCCTTCTGGTTTCTTAAATTCTAGCCAAATTCACAAAATACTTTCTAAAACCAAGAAGCACTGGGGAGGGAAATCCACAATCACCCAAACTATACCTGAATTATGCCTTTTATGATTTCTGTTTCCTATCTGTTTGTTTTGGGCTGGGGGGGGTGGGGATTGTTGACAGTCTCACTCTGTAGCTCTGATTAGCCTGAAACTCACTATGTGTGCAGACCAGGCTGGCCTCAAACTTACAGCAATCCACCTGCCTCTCCCACGCCCAGCCCTCTGTTCTTTTCTGAGGGCCTGTCCTCCAACCCGTGTCTTGGTTACTGCAAGTCTGAGAGGCCTGCACCATCACATCTGACTTACAGCTCTGTGCTTTACAAGGTGAAGAGTATCACACCGAAGGAGGACTGGAAATGACTTTGCACTGTTCCAGAAAACAGAATTAGGAATTACTTATTAGAAATTCAAGTACCTAATCTACCAGGCTGAGCTGAATCCCCAAGGGAGTCCTTGCCTTGGAGGAGGTGGGAATGGGGGGGATGGATTGTGGGG